AAGTACAACATGAACCTCCAAGTACCGTTTCCGAGGTAATCGACAGCGTGGCAGCAGTGGCCCGTGTGGATGGCACGGGGGACCGGCGGGCGCAGATCCCTCGCCGCCAGGCTCAGGGTAGGAACATTCAGATAGAACTGGTAGGTTCCCTAAACAGGGGTTTCCGAAATTGAGGGTACCGAATTGGGGTCCGTACAAAAAGGAATGCCTACTATTTGGGGTCCATATTCGGGGTCCCTGTTCGTAAACCCCCAAATGGGTATTTCCCAAAATAGGGGTACCCCTTGTCTGCCCCAAACAGAATCGAATCCCCCTAACCCCCCAAAAAGGGCACCCCTATTTTCGGAAACCTGCGGTTTAGGGTTTAGGTTGAAGGCCCCTTATTGCAGGGTTAGGGTTTTGAGGCTTTCGCCCTGCACCCCCGACTGGCCATAAACTAGCTCGCAGAGACCATTTCTATTTTCTAATCATGCACCCCCCCCTAGCACCCAAACCATAGCAACCTATACCTCAAACCCAAATGATGAAAACCATACCATGGAACCACGCAAAACCCCAAAGGAAATAGCATACTCAACCCCATAGCACCGCCCGATAGAAAACTCAGAACAACCAACCCGAAACCCCTAACCCTACAAAATGGACATGGTCTTCTCAAATAATCTATCTATACCGTTTAGGAATAAGGTTGCAACGGTAATGAAGCCACAGATTTGAGAGTAATACCTACTGTACATCACACTAGTGGTGCTTCGGCATGTTTTTCGGCGCCGCTGTGACGCCTCAGTCCAAGTTCAACAGTCTGTGATTGCCTTGCCCTCGCTCATAGAAAATAGCATCAACTACTTGTCCACATGGGCGTCTTTCCGCATCAAGCACGCCCTTTCAGGACCACTTCTTCCCGTATGCATCTCTCAGTCGTTATGAAAGCTGTCCTGGTACTTGCCACTTTCTCCCGTACATTCAAGACGGCAAGGAGCTTTTTTCTGCCAGTCCCCGCTGGCTACAAGCACGTTCTTGTGCTGTGTCAGTCGCGCTTCGCTCTGATGCATCTTCAACGTGTTGGATTCTTGTCCAAGAACATGCCTAGATGGACTGAGACTTGCCACCTCCCCACCACCCTACGGGAAGTTTCGAGTTTCCTGCAACCGTTATAGCAATTGTGTCACGAGGAAAGGTGGTTTGATAGCCTGCAGTGCATGCACCGGACATGGGCAGTGTCACTTGCCAGCAGGTTTGGGACCAGCTTTGGCAGTCGCAGCGGGCGGTGATCATACTTGTGCAGTGTGGGCAGATGGTCGGCTCATCTGTTTTGGACGAAATGGCGATGGGCAGTGTGATGTGCCAGCACACTTGGGACCAGTTTTGGCCGTCGCAGCTGGCGGTCGTCGTGCTTGTGCAGCGTGGGCAGATGGTCGGCTCATCTGTTTTGGACGGAATGACGCTGGGCAGTGTGACGTGCCAGCCGATTTGGGACCAGTTTTGGCAGTCTCAGCTTGCGGTGATCATACTTGTGCAGTGCGGGCAGATGGTCGGCTCGTCTGTTTTGGACGAAATGGCGATGGGCAGTGTGATGTGCCAGCACACTTGGGACCAGTTTTGGCAGTCGCAGCTGGCGGTCGTCGTACTTGTGCAGTGCGAGCAGATGGTCGGCTCATTTGTTTTGGACGGAATGACCTTGGGCAGTGTGATGTGCCAGCAGATTTGGGACCAGTTTTGGCAGTCGCAACTGGCCGTGATCATACTTGTGCAGTGCGGGCAGACGGTCGGCTCGTCTGTTTTGGATGGAATGGCGATGGGCAGTGTGATGTGCCAGCCGATGTGGGGCCAGTTTTGGCAGTCTCAGCTTGCAGTGATCATACTTGTGCAGTGCGGGCAGATGGTCGGCTCATCTGTTTTGGACGGAATGACGATGGGCAGTGTGATGTGCCAGCAGATGTGGGGCCAGTTTTGGCAGTCGCAGCTGGCCGTGATCATACTTGTGCAGTGCGGGCAGATGGTCGGCTCATCTGTTTTGGATGGAATGGCGATGGGCAGTGTGATGTGGACAACCGCTGATCACTCACAAAAGAGATACTGAGTTCCAAGGTGACCTTCGCCTGTTTAAATATTCACAGTAGCTTCACCATCGTGGCCAGCCCCTTGACCTTACGCAGTTTAGATAAGTGGCCGACGTGGGATCACGAATCACAGGGTATATCTCTGAAGCAATGCAGCTCGAAGGCCCTGCTGAGCAGCTTGGCGAGCCAGCTCAAGGCGCGGCACGTGACATGGCTGGCTGCTTGAAGTCTCCCCGTGACTTTCAAAGAACATCCCGAAGCTCCCAGACCTGAAATCTTAACACCCAGAAACCATCAGAGACCCTATACCTTGGGATGTTTCCCCTTATACTAACAGTCGGGATTATAGTACCCCGCCTGTTCTAGTCCCTCTTAAGGACTGCTTGTAGAAGGGGGAACATCCCAACCTATACCCTAACCCTAAGCCCTAAGCCTAAGCCCTAAACCCTAAGCCCTAAGCCCTAAGCCCTAAGCCCTAAGCCCTAAGCCCTAAGCCCTAAGCCCTAAGCCCTAAGCCCTAAGCCCTAAGCCCTAAGCCCTAAGCCCTAAGCCCTAAGCCCTAGCCCTAAGCCCTAAGCCCCTAAGCCCTAAGCGCTGAACCCTAAACCTTAAACCCTAAACCCTAGACCCTAAACCCTAAACCCCTGATCCCAAGCTCAGAGGTCCTGGTGGCAAGGCCCCGACAGCGGCGGTCCCAGGACGGAATCAAGACGTCCAAACCTTGTTCGTTACAGGGTTTGGGGGGGCTTTAGGGTTTTACGGGTTTAAGGTTTTGGGTTTAGGGCCAAGGCTTGTGATTGCGGTTGTCGAGAATTCAGGCTCCTAGAATATGGCCGGTTCTGTGCTCCTGTTATGCTGCGGCTGGTCATATACTTGTCTAACCCCAAAATGGGACAAGGTAGGGGGCGAATCTGAACTCTTTAGGGGTTGAGGGTTTCACAAAAGGGGCCCAAGTTAGAGTATGTTCCTGGGAGTCTAGGGTACCAGGAAGGGCCCACATAGTAAATCAGAGCACTTCCGAACGTACTTCCCGCATCGTGAATTGCAAGCCCTAAGTCTGAGTTGAAGGTTCAAGTGGTACTTATGGCTGAGTTGCATTTTGAAGCCCTGTGACCTAAATCTTGTTTGTAGTGCTGAAAGGTACATGGGTTAGTATGGGTAGGGTGATAAGGAAACTTATTTTCTAATCGAGGTACGCATAGCCCAACTAAGAACTACCCATCAAGTACATCTAACCCAACTGCCTATAAACCTTCCGGTGAGGAGTCGCAAGCCATGTCCCCGGGAGTCGCAGCAGCCTCGAATCGCAGTCCACAGGTTTAGGGTTTAGGGTTTAGGGTTTAGGGTTTTGGGTTTTGGGTTTTGGGTTTGCAGTTAAGGGAGCCCCATGCGGATGCGAGGTCGTGACCAACCAAGTCATGGGGGACCCCACCGCCGGAATTAGTCGAGTCACTCTTGGCCACGCGACTCCGGCTCGGCTGACTCGACTGGACCCTTGACCCCCTAAGCCCTAAACCCTAAGCCCTAAGCCCTAAACCCTAAACCCTAAACCCTAAACCCTAAACCCCACACCCTAAACCCTAAGCCTTAAACCCTAAACCCTGAACCCGCCTCCTGCCAGGTTTGGCACCATTCCGTTAACTGGCGACTGGTGCTCAGCCATTTGCCACCAGGACAGAGAGCTCAGCGGCGCTGAGTGTGATTTCAGGGGTTTTGCAAGGGTGTCATAAGGGCTTAGTAGGGGCTTTGTAGGGTTCGATGGGTTGAAGGTTCAGGGCCGAGGGTGTACCCTTTGGAGAGGGGCAGTTGCGTTCTTGCGATGGGGTCTGGCATTCTGGCTCAGCGACTGCCTTAAACCCTAAACCCTAAACCCTAAACTCAAACCCCAAACCCTAAGCCCTAAGCCCTAAACCCTAAACCCTAGGCACTACACCCTAAACCCTAAACCCGCAGGATCTGCAGAAGGTCCTGGAAGCAAGGAGCAAGCAGATCCCTTTGGCCGTCGGTACTTGCTGGCCAGAGCCTTGGGAATGACATGTTTCAAAAGACGGCTTATGGGTTTAGGGTTGGGGGTTTAGGGTTTAGGGTTTAGAGTTTAGGAACTCAGACTCCCAGTCCTGCCAGGTCGAGAAGAGCCCGTCCTTCAAGTCTGTGGCTGTCCAGTCAGGGCCTGAGCATTCACAGAGAGGCATGGTCCGAGCTCGGACACAACTCTTCCAATCGAGATACCTGCAACTACAATGGCCTTAGTGCAGCTGTGACTGTACATTTTTAACAATACCATTCGCAAGCTCAGGCCCTAACTGTTGTGGATCATGTCGTGCCTCCTTGCGATGCCGAGAGTGCTGGCTCCGAGCAGCTATGTAGATTGCGAGCGCCAAAGGACGCCACCCTCGCAGCTCACAGATGGCTCCCGATGCCAAGACTGAGTCGGCCCAGCCCGACGGGAGCAAGACCGAAGAAGGCAAGACCGAAGAAATCAAGACCGAAGACAGCAAGACCGAGCAGAGCAAGGCCGAAGAGGGCAAGGCTGAAGAGGGCCAGGTCGGGGCAGACCCAGCTTCCAAGGACCCACGAATATGTTTCAGAGGATTTTTAACATCCTAGAAATAGCATTCCCTTCGGATCCCTAAAAATATATATAAGAAACCTCATCATCAGTATTCCCTTATGATCCCTCTATAAGAAACCTCATTCTTCTCAGCTCCCAAGGATGCAGCTCCCAGGGACGTGATCTCCGCGATGGAGCCAGCTGGGCGGAGTGCGGAGGAGCGTGTCGAGCTGGCCATGCCACTTTGTCATAGGTTGGGTACCATTTTTTTGCATTTTAAGGGTACTTAAACCCAATAAAGAATATACATTTTATATCTTTAAGGGTGCTTAAACCCAATAAGGAATGTACCCATTAAAATTTTTAGTATCATCCCAACAATGAACTAGGCAATACTTCGAGCCAGTGGGGAAGAAGCGCAAGCTCGATGTCTCCCTCCGGGGGTTTGCGCCGGAGCTTCTTTGCAATGCGCCCTCCAACATTCAGACTTGTCGGAGCTTGCTGCTCTTCCTGGAGAAGAAAATACTGCAGAGCAATGCTTCGCTCTCAGCCCCAGAAGTTCAGGGCCCGGAGGACCTGAAGCACGAGCTTGAGAAGTTTGCTGAGGAAGCCGGGCGTGCAACGGCCATCGACAAACCAGGTGCCTACGACGCACGCGTCAGGCGCGTGTTGGACCTGACCGCGCTACTTGGAACTCCTGAGGTCAAGGAGCTTGTGAACTCCACTCGAACAAGGCTGCGGGAAAGGATGCATCAGCTCAATCTGCAGCTCAAAGAGCGAGGGGAGTTGGACGTGGAGACGCTGACAAAGCAGCGGCAAGCTTGGGCAGAGGGGCTTCTCCGGCGAGACTGGCTGGCATGGTGCGAGCGCTTGCTTCAGGCCCGAGAAGCTAATTTGTTGCGCGCTGGCAACCAGCCTCTCAAGGAGCAGTGCTCGGAGCATTTGACTGCTGGGCACGTCGTGACTTCGCTGCTGAGTGGCTGAGCTTTCATCGGCTCTGAGAGGGCTTCGAACATCTGCAGCCGCCGGGCTCGGCGTGGGCTCGGCGCGGGCTCGGCGAGTGCCCAACCACATCAGCAGACGAGGAGATGGCGAGAGCAAAGATGGACGTCCTTGCTGCGCGGATGCAGGACGTCCCAGAACGCCGTGGGCTGCTTGACAACCGTCTCACAGGATGGATCCTTGTACGAATCCTCGAAAAGTTCTTGCTGGGTATGCTGCCGACCTTGCAGGTCATTGTGTATAAGCCTGGTCAGTGCTCATGATTCAGCTGTCCTTGCACATGCCTTCAGCCCGAACGGGTGCGCAGAGTCAGCATAAGCCAGGACTCAATCCCAAGCCCAAGTCCGTCCTCCCAAACTCTCCTGCTGCCAAGGTTTGCCATCAAGGACAGTGGCCTCTGCGAGCAGGGTGCCGTGCAGTGAGGAAAGAAGTGCGCTAGCAACATTATGCTCTGCTGCGGTGGTTTGGGGAAGGCCCGAGGGCCTGTGGGGAGGGCACGCCTGGCAAGGTTGTCGGAGCAGGATGCTCATCGGTATGAGAAGCCAGGCCAAGCTTACGACTTCCGCAGCCATTTAAAATTTATGTTTCAGATACAGCTGATTCAGCTAGACGCTAGCTCCTCTGCCCCCCATGGGGATCTTTTCTTCAAGCCGCTTCCTGTGCTGCTTTGTGCTGCTGGCAGTGGTGACGAGCAACAGCTGGACGGAGCTTTCTCCTCCAAGTGGTCCGCCAACCACGACCAGACACTCAATGTTGTGGGACAGCGCCGGCCAAGGACTTCTCATGTTTGGTGGGCAGGTGCAGCCGAGTAAGGCATTCGTCAACGACCTGTACTTCTATAGTGTGAGCCTGAACACGTGGAGCTTGAAGTCCTCGACTCTGCGCCAGAGGGCCGACACCTTCACGCTGCTGTCATAGATGAGACAGCAAGGGTGATGTCTCTGGCGGATCGAAGCGGGAGCGTAGTTCAACAACCCCCAACAGCCTCTTCAGTGACTTGTTTCGCTACGATGTCGCCATGGACGCCTGGACTCAGCTGTCGAGCCACACGACTACGCGAGCACGCCATGCAGCAGCCTGGAATAGCAACTCGGACCGCATGATTGTGTATGGCGGAGAGGCCGATGACATGTGCTCAACGACCTGTTGGAGTACGATGCTTCAGCCGACGCATGGAGCTCGCCCACTGTAACTGGAACCACTCCCGAGAGGGCGCCATACGGCCGCAGCTGTATGGGACCCTGCAGCTGGTGTCTTGCTCATGTGCTGCGGAAGAGGAGTAGACCTAGTCTACAGCCCGTTTACGAACATCGCAGACACACGATACAACGATGTATGGAGCTGTGCCGATGGCTCAGGATGGACTCAGCTGCTGCAATCAGCAAGCTTTGAGCAACGATTTGGGGTTGGAGCTGTCTGGGATGGAGCCACGCGCTCGATGATCGGGTACGGTGGGTACCGCGCGAACTACTTGGATACGGTGTTCTCCTACTCGAGCACAATGGGCACTTGTACACCATCGCCGGGGCTGGGCCGGGTGCAATGTCTGCCATTGCCGTGGCTTGGAATCCTGGCGCTTCCGAGCTCTACATGTTTGGAGGATACGGGCCCTCTTCGGGTGGCAATGATAAGCGTGGCGCTTGGACAGCACCCAGGATGTGCTGGTTGCTGCCTGCCCGAGCTTCGGAATCCGCCTTTCTGCTTTTTGGGTGTCCGAGAGTTCTCCCGTGTTCTGCCGCTTGCGGGTTCGTCCCTCTTCGCATTCGCAAGGGGTGTTGTGGGGGAGGGGGTGGTGAAGGACGGCGAAGGATTTTGATCACTCATTCTCCTCTGAAGTCTAAACCCGAAGCAGCACCCACTCAGGTGATGTTGGCCCTTGTGCAGCAACGTCGCGTGATCGTCCGGGACTTCTGGACTTCTGAAATGAGGGCACGGCAGCTGCGCGTATGGCGCAGGAGGCAGCTGACCTTCTGGGCCCTTTGGTTTTCAATCTTTGCATTCTTTGTGCTTTGCATCTTGTCGTGTCTGGCTAACGTGGGCACGCTCGATGCCGCCAAGTGGCTGGAAAGCACAGGCATGAGTGTTCTGCAAGACCTTGCTCTAAAGCCCATGCTCCTTGCAGTATGTCAAAGACAACGTCGCGCAGCAGCAGATACATCTGGACGAGGTGAACATCGCTTTCGTAGAAGACGCGCCGAGTGCAGATAGCCCACCCTCGCCAAGTTGTCTCGAAGAGACAGGCTCGGATGTCGGCAGCCTGCATGCCGATTGCTTTTAAATTCATACCTAAATTCATACCTAAATTCATACCTAAATTCATACCTCCTTTTTGCTTGATAAACATTTTCCAGACAGCCGCTGCAGAAGCAAAATTCGTTTTGAGACACACTCCCAACACTGGACCCCCAAATGCCTGAGTCCATAAAGCACTGCGCAACGATAGCCCCCCCCCGGTCCCGCCATAACATGTGAGTAAATAAGCGTACAAACTTTGATTTTTTTCAAAGTAGTTTTTTGGCACCACGTCTGTATACATATATATATATATATATATATATGAGAGAGGGACCTTTATGTACTATGTTGCCACTGGTTTTCTTTTATATATCAAATATAAGAGTCATTTACACTCTTTTAATATTTATGGAAGCAAACAAATTTAAATAATTGAATCAATTGAATTAATTGAATTCTTGGGGGATATCCAGAATTCAAATAATTTAATTAATTGAATTAATTGTATTCTGGGGGGGGCCCCAGAATTCAATTAATTCAATTAATTGAATTATTTGAATTCTGGGGCCCCCCCCAGAATTCAATTAATTCAATTCTTTGAATCTCTGACCTTGAGCCAGACCAATTGAATAATTCAATTAATTCAATTAATTCAATTAATTCAATTAATTCAATTAATTGAATTAATTGAATTCTGGGGCCTCCCCCAGAATTCAAATAATTCAATTAATTGAATTAATTGAATTCTGGGGCCTCTCCCAGAATACAATTAATTAAATTAATTTAATTGAATTCTGGGGCCTCCCCCAGAATACAAATAATTTAATTAATTGAATTAATTGAATTAATTGAATTATTTAAATGGTTTGGCTGAGGCCCGGGATCAAAGGAATTAAAATAATTGAATTAATTGAATTCTGGGGCCACCCCCAGAATTCAATTAATTCAATTAATTGAATTCTTTGAATCTCTGGCCCTGAGCCAGACCAATTGAATAATTCAATTAATTCAATTAATTCAATTAATTCAATTAATTGAATTCTGGGGCCTCCCCCAGAATTCAAATAATTCAATTAATTGAATTCTGGGGCCTCTCCCAGAATACAATTAATTAAATTAATTGAATTAATTGAATTCTGGGGCCTCCCCCAGAATACAAATTGAATTAATTGAATTAATTGAATTAATTGAATTATTTAAATGGTTTGGCTGAGGCCCGGGATCAAAGAAATTAAAATAATTGAATTAATTGAATTCTGGGGCCTCCCCCAGAATTCAATTAATTCAATTAATTGAATTCTTTGAATCTCTGGCCCTGAGCCAGACCAATTTGAATAATTCAATTAATTCAATTAATTTAATTAATTCAATTAATTAAATTAATTGAATTCTGGGGCCTCCCCCAGAATTCAAATAATTCAATTAGTTGAATTAATTGAATTCTGGGGCCTCTCCCAGAATACAATTAATTAAATTAATTGAATTAATTGAATTCTGGGGCCTCTCCCAGAATACAATTAATTAAATTAATTGAATTAATTGAATTCTGGGGCCTCCCCCAGAATACAAATAATAATTAATTGAATTAATTGAATTAATTGAATTAATTGAATTATTTAAATGGTTTGGCTGAGGCCCGGGATCAAAGGAATTAAAATAATTGAATTAATTGAATTCTGGGGCCTCTCCCAGAATACAAATAATTCAATTAATTGAATTATTTGATTAAATTATTTAAATTGTCTGGCTAAGGCTACAATATTAAAGAAATTAAAATCATAGAATTATGTAAATTCTTGAGGAGGCACCAGAATTCAATTAATTCGAATAATTTAGTTATTTTAATTATTTAAATTTGTTTGCTTCCTAAATATTAAAAGAGTGTATATGACTATATGTAGGTTTTCAGCTTAGCGCTATGCGGGGTTTACAGTTCTAGGTGTCTGGGCTTCTATTTCTTGAATCCTAAACCCTTAGCCCTAGCTAAACCTTAAACCCTAAACCTTAAACCCTAAACCCTAAACCCTAAACCCTAAACCTTAAACCCTAAACCCTAAACCTTAAATCGGGACATGAACACATCTCATTACTGAGTTGTGGTTATTCGGTTTTGACATCGGCCGAAGCTTGCCTTTTAGAGGCTGAGCTGATGGCTTGCGCAAGCGAAGGGTCCACTGACTTTATTTCTAGTCAAGGGGATAGGGTTTAGGGTTTCGAAGCTAAGTTGTTCAAGACCCTAAACTCTAAACCCGAAGCCTTAAACCCCAAACCCCTTAGCCCTAGCCCTAAACCCTAAACCCTAAACCTTAAACCCTAAACCCTAAACCCTAAACCTTAAACCTTAAACCCTAAACCCTAAACCTTAAATCGGGACATGAACACATCTCATTACTGAGTTGTGGTTCTTCGGTTTTGGCATCGGCCGAAGCTTGCCTTTTAGAGGCTGAGCTGATGGCTTGCGCAAGCGAAGGGTCCACTGACTTTATTTCTAGTCAAGGGGATAGGGTTTAGGGTTTCGAAGCTAAGTTGTTCAAGACCCTAAACTCTAAACCCGAAGCCTTAAACCCTAAACCCCTTAGCCCTAGCCCTAAACCCTAAACCCTAAACCCTAAACCCTAAACCCTAAACCTTAAACCCTAAACCCTAAACCTTAAATCGGGACATGAACACATCTCATTACTGAGTTGTGGTTCTTCGGTTTTGACATCGGCCGAAGCTTGCCTTTTAGAGGCTGAGCTGATGGCTTGCGCAAGCGAAGGGTCCACTGACTTTATTTCTAGTCAAGGGGATAGGGTTAGGGTTTCGAAGCTAAGTTGTTCAAGACCCTAAACTCTAAACCCGAAGCCTTAATCCCCAAACCCCTTAGCCCTAGCCCTAAACCCTAAACCCTAAACCTTAAACCCTAAACCCTAAACCCTAAACCTTAAACCCTAAACCCTAAACCTTAAATCGGGACATGAACACATCTCATTACTGAGTTGTGGTTCTTCGGTTTTGACATCGGCCGAAGCTTGCCTTTTAGAGGCTGAGCTGATGGCTTGCGCAAGCGAAGGGTCCACTGACTTTATTTCTAGTCAAGGGGATAGGGTTTAGGGTTTCGAAGCTAAGTTGTTCAAGACCCTAAACTCTAAACCCGAAGCCTTAATCCCCAAACCCCTTAGCCCTAGCCCTAAACCCTAAACCCTAAACCTTAAACCCTAAACCCTAAACCCTAAACCTTAAACCTTAAACCCTAAACCCTAAACCTTAAATCGGGACATGAACACATCTCATTACTGAGTTCTGGTTCTTCGGCTTTGACATCGGCCGAAGCTTGCCTTTTAGAGGCTGAGCTGATGGCTTGCGCAAGCGAAGGGTCCACTGACTTTATTTCTAGTCAAGGGGATAGGGTTTAGGGTTTCGAAGCTAAGTTGTTCAAGACCCTAAACTCTAAACCCGAAGCCTTAAACCCTAAACCTTAATGGCAGGATTGGAAGCCTCAGAGGTAATGCTGCCGCGAACGGACACACTCAGAAGAGTGACTATAAGGTTTAGGGTTTGGGGTTCAGGGTTCAGGGTTTTAAGGAGAAGATGGTTG